TCACATATGAAACACTTGTTTTTAATCCCATTATATTTGTTTTGCCTTGAGCACATTAAGAAAATTTTCCGGATAATATGCTTAACCAAAAGCTAATTCGCGGGCAGATTCCTCCTGTGGGAAAAAGTAAAAACAACGCTTTCATCTCCAAAATTATGTAAGTTAATTCCATCTAAATTGCAATAGCAGCAACATTACCATACTAAAACTTTACTGTGAAGCTAATTTTACGAGTTAACCAGGTTTACAATGAAGGCCTAGAATACTTAATACAGACACTCTATGCTGTCATCAAAGCAATGCTTGTCTACGTATCTTTGAATCATTATTCAATCATAAAAGTGCTACTCCGAGTAATCAAAAAAAAATTCTCCCAAGCAAGACCATTATCGTAAATTATCAATTAGTTAGTTCTCTGAGCTAATCAAGCTGTTAAGAACACAATAAGGAACAAGAGCTAGAAGAATTCAGAAAAAAATTATCTTTTCTTAAAGCTAGGTTTAGACAAGGCAAGATAATTGATCAACTCAGTTGAATTCAACTGACTTGAACGTGTAAACTATGCGATTTAACTGATTTTAATTAAAAAATTGAACCAAGCTCAACTTTTCAAACCAATTGAATTCAACTGAGTTGATCAACGACTTGCCTTATCTAAGTCCAGCTTAACTCTTAATCAATCTTGCATTTGTTAAAAAACCCTCCAATGCGCTCATGGGATTGATTTTTGTTGGACACAGCTGTATCGAGCAGACGCAGAATCTACTTGAAGGTTAAATTTTGTCAGACGCAATTAGGTATAACATCTATTAAGAGACGCACATTCCCATAAGCAGCTTAATTTTGCAACAACTAACAACGTCTAGCGACTCTACGGAACTGAATTTTTTATCTCGGTTCAACTCAGGAATGTGACAACACGCAGTGGGAGCTGAATTTATAATAGGATCAAAATCATCGGAATACCCTTTTATTTGATTAACTTTTGCTCCACTTGCAAAAATGCAACATCAAGCATAGAACATCCAAAACTTCGCAACTCTATTTAAAATTTGAAATTGAAAACCATCCTCAAGCTACAACGAGTAATGAAGTTGTTTGAAACTAGCGAAGTCAGCCATACTTATTAATATGCTTCTGTTATAAAGAAATATTTCCCTGACTTTGAATGAAATTCCCTGATAATCCCTGATTTTCCAGGTCCAAAAAGAAATTCCCTGATTTTCCAGGTTTTTCCCTCAAGAAAGAAGCCACGCCCAGTTGTTGTGGAACGGTTTTAAATGTGTGACACGTGATTTTGCAGTGCAAAAACTGCGAGCGTCAACGACAAAAGAACGACATTGGCAAACCCCCATGCTGAATTTTCTAAGTCAAACTAAACTGTACCGAAACATTTGAATGGATGCAGAGAAAACAAGGAGGAGCAGCCAAAACTCGGTGTAGCGGTAAGAAGCTTAAGCAGTTAACGGAGCAAGGAAGGGAAGAAGAATGTGAAAAAGGAAAAGATGAAGATCAAAGAAGGAGAACTAAGCTGTAAAGAAGGTGAAGCTAATCAAAAACACAAAGCGGATAGCGCATGGAAAGAGTAAGGAGAAACAACCTGAATTGTGCAGAAGTAGAAGAAGAATAAGATGAAATAATTTAATTGAAACCAAGTAACAGATGAAGGCGTAATGGAAAACGAAGAAGATCAAGAAGATATAGCGGAAAATAGCGAAATGAAGAAGACGACACCGAAGGAAAATTGGGGAAGGCATGAAGACGTAGGAGCGGAAAATAAGGCAATTGAAATAAAGAATAAAGAAGATTGTGAAGAAATTAAGAACATAAACAGAAACATGGTGAAAATAGATCAAAGAGTGAATTCCAAGATAAAACAAAAGATCAGAAGAAGTGAAGAAGATACAAGAAGAATAAGAAGATGATACGCAGATGATTCAGCAAAGGAGGAGATGAAGCAGACCCTTCAACAAGATCAAGATAAGTGAAAAAAATCACATTTTTTAATTAAATGAATATGACAGGAATGCATGCATGCATGTAAAATGTCCATAATATTAAAAAAAAAAACAAGGATACTTTTTTTTTTTTTTTTTTGTTCTTTATTATAGAGATTTTTAGCCTGAGGCTAGTTCATCTCTTAAACAAGGATACGTATGCCTCCACAAAAACGATAATCACACCCGTCGCCTCCGTCTTGGTAATACCGTGCCTTTACTGACTAAGCTATGAGATCCCTTCCGAAGATGTCGAAAAAAATATGGGATGGCTTAAAACGATTGAACCTTCCAGCGGAAGTCAAAAGAAGTTATCGTGGAAGCCAGAAGAACTTCTGGAAGAAGCTTCCGAAGAAATCAGATGCACATTTTAAGGAAAGTGGGAAGAGACTTCTGGGATATATCTTCTAAGTCAAAAGAAACTCCCGAGGGTAGTCGTAACTAAAAATTACGCAATCAGTCGGAAGAAAAACCGAAGGCAGCTCGGATTTTTTTTCCAATGGAAGCAAATATACAAACATTATGTGGTTAAACTATTCTATACTTGATAAATCGTTCTACCGAAATCAAAAAATAAAAATTCTAATTTGTAACTGCCATGAATCGAACTTTATAATTTTCTGGTCTTTGAACAAAAATAATTCGTTTCACGGGAAACCAAAAATGGCCACAATATAGAAACACTACCCTTGACTAAGTTGTGGGGTCTCCTTGGAATTCTTATCCAGGGCTGGAAGCGGTTAGTGCCCAAGAAAATAGTGACTTAGTGACCAAATAGCAGTGGCGTCGCGTTCACATGTGCAACCTGTGCACAACACAGGTGCAAATAATATAAAATTATGCATTTAGATTTTTATAGATTTTCTGGTCACATTATAGTTATACTTATAGATCAAAAGTTATCATTAATACTCTATTTTTAGTATAACGCAATTACATCTACGACCTTGGCTTGCCTCAAGAAGAATTCGGTTCCAATGGTCTGCCTAATGCATTCATTTATAAACTCGATAATCCCTACCACGACAAAACTCGTTAAATATTTCACCTAAAAGCGAGCTTCTTCGGTGGCGGGTGGCATCGTTTGTTAATCGTCAAATGCCTGATGTCTAAGTGATTTCCAAAGCTACTATTACCTGGAGATCAAATTAAATCATGTTTGAAACATACCACACATTGCCCACAATCCAATACATGGTGCCTTGCGCCACTAATCTTCATTGAAAACAAGCACGCGCTAAACGGGAGCAACACGAAAACAGCACTCTGGTAGGCTTTAGATGTGTATCATACTTGCAGAGTGGTTTGAATGTGTGAGTTGGAATTGGTGAATGGGTGGTGATGTATATGTACCTAAAGCGTGCACTTCTCGCTGTGCATTTATAAGCAAGAAAGGGAGTGCGAATGCTTTCTCAAAATTTATTCGCTCTCACTCTCTTGCCTGTTGCAATGCTCTCAATTATAGCGAATAATTCGCTAAATTATTTGTTGATTATAGAGGTTGGAACCAGTTCCAACCCAGTGCGAAACCGAACCTTTTGTCAGTGCGAACCTGTAAAGGTTTTAAAAACAAACGAGCAAACTGACGTTTGTCAGAAAACAAGCAGAGCGTTGATACCCGATCCAGGTTGGAACTGCATAATAAACAAATTCGCTATTAGCGATGTTTGCGCCGGTTGCGTCTTTCAAAACTTGAGAGCTTTCTGTGGTTCATTCTGATAGTGTTGTTCTGATTAATGAAGTGTTGAATAATTCGAGTTTGCTACCCAGGGACTTCTGGAATATTCTCTCGGAAGTGTTTGACTGATATTCTTTATTACACTTCAGTCGAAGAGCTTTGTAATAAAAACGAGAATAAATTTAAGATAAGTTAAGATTTTATGATTACTTCGCGTAAAAAGACTCTTTTCAAATAATACGCGAGGTCTCAGACTCGGAGATAAATCCGGAGTGATTTGAGATTTGGGCGTAATTGCTTTTGCAAACAAACAAGTCAATCGCCGATTTCTCGCAAGTAAAAGCTCAATCTTGTAAACAAAGTATACCAAATGATAGAGGAATCGTTCCTTTACCCAACTGTGTTATTAGTTTCAGAGGTTGGGCTTTTATTTGCGAGAAATCGGTGATTGACGTGATTATTTACAAAAGTGATTACGCCGAAATCTCAAATCACTCCGGAAATATTGAAGCTAGTTTATCTGTTTAACCCAGGATCAAACATTATTTGAGAAACACAATGGTTGATGATACATTAAATTGGCTTATGCTTATGACGATCGATAAAAGCTGTTGCATGATGCATCTAGATGTTGTAGATGCAGTGATTAATATAGTATTGAGTATCTTTTGGAATTCTTGGAGCATTGAAAAAAATAAACCAAAAACTATTATGAGGTGGTAAATCGTTAACAAATATAGTTTGGTGCACAGGTAAAAAAAAATGATGCCAAATAGTTCAAAAAAGTGAATTATGGTCAACCGAAATTAATTTACGTCATTTTGTGAGCATTTACAGATTGGCCTACAACAAATACTGCATAGCCTTTGAGAAATCAAATGGTGCTACTTGATTGGAACCTTGTTCCAGATACGCCTAGAAGACCACGCCACACTGTTTACATCCAGTAGCCACTTCTGTCGGACGCAGCTTCAAGAGCTATCGGCTCAGTAGTCCACTTATCAAAATGCCACACTAAGATATCACGAAACATCAACGCTCCACAGCTGTCGATGATAGCGACAGAAAAATACAACAACAACCTTCAAAGTGTATTGAAAACACAACGAACGCCTCTCGAACATAAATAGCACAGTAAGCGCCGTTATCACTACTGTACTCGGTAGCGCTCTCAGCTGTTATGTCGAGCCACACAAGACCCCCGTCACACTCCGCGCGGTACGCCAGTGTAGAGCCCCAGAGCGCACACAACACATGACCCATCTGTTTTCGGATTTCGTTCAAATCCCGCAAGAATGGAAAATAGCTAATGGAAAACAACCTACCTGGTGGGGTGTCGGTCAACACCGAGATGTTGGCTGTGTCCACGTGCGGTGCGAATGCTTCATAGATGTCCGATTCTTCCTCGATACCGCTCAGCTGATCGGTTCCGATGGCATTCACCGGCATTGTGGATCGGTTGGATTCTCTTCTCACGGTTCACACTTAAGGATAAACTCCCCCTCGAGCTGCTTCTTTCACTAAACTCTAAAGGTAATACTTTTTGCTTTGTTTTTCTTCTTAAGAACCTCCAGTCACGAGGTGTTGTTGGAGAGCTTCGGTTCAGTTACGTATCGAAAGCTTCTTGAACACACTTTTGCGATGAATTCCGCCAACAACGAACTCCTTTCACCCTTTGTGGCCACCGGATCTTGAACACTTTCCGCGAAAAAATATGAACCAGTTTCGGTGCGAAACGGGGTCTGATAACCAACCACAAATCGCTCTTCTGCTTTGCCTTGCTCGTCACTATCTGTTGCTTGATTATTTTTTATTCATCAGCAATATATCGAACCGCACGCGAACCCCGATTGCATTCTCTTCCATCGATACAAGGCCCGAAAAAATACAAATAATCGCCGGACTAATTGTCGGTACCGCGCTGCTGAGATTTGAACATGCGAGCCCGGTATAAACACTTGACAGAGTTAGGAACAAGTCAGGTGTCGTGTAGAGGAGGGCTTTGAAGGTGCACACACAGCTTCACCACCACTGAAGCAAAATTGAGGAAACGTTGTCGATGCGATAGACGACTTTGAGGGATTCACCGGAATGGAGGGTTGATAGAGAGCAGCTGATTTGGAGTATGGATTTCTGTTGGGGATATCACAGCGAGTAACAGCGAACATGCAAGAATGAAATGACTAGACTTGAGCGCTCTCTTGGTTGCTTATCTTACTACACACACACACACACTCGCGTAAGCGAGATACTAAGGTAATCTCACTATATATTTTGCTTTTCTTTGCGTTGTCGATTTGCTTCCGAAAAAACTAATCTCAAATGGATCGCTGAATGGCTTTTCGCTCGCTTGCTCGTTGGTTGCTGTCGCAGTCAGTCTATGGGGACACTAGTACCCCGGGGCGTACTCTGAATGCATGCATTGTCCTTCGATCGATGCGCTTATGTGAGATCTTCAAAAAGCATGTTGTAAGCTGGGGGAGAGAACCGAAGAAAAAAAATAATTCATTAGTTTGTGCATGTAACGGACAGAATGTGACGTCAAATCAAACAGCGGTGTGTCAAAGGTTATGAAAATACTGTTACTAACAGGGTGGCCAGTGAGTTTTCATTTTTAAATTCCCGATTTTTTCCCGGTTTTCTCGGTTCAAATCTGATAAATTTCCGGGTCTAACATAGTCAGCAGTAACGGAAGTTTTCAATGACTAGATTTTTTTTAAACGTGACCAAGTGCACATAGTTCAACTTATATGTGGGCAAGAAATAAACAAACAAACAAAAAATGTCTAAGCTAAAGGCCTCTTATTTATGCAAAGCCCCAGAACTTACTGAGCAACTGAGTCATGGAATATATTCATGATCACTATGCCGAACGCTGGATTGAATGGGGCATTAGACCGAATTGCAAAAAGTGTGGGATTGAAATGAAAAATTGTATTAGAAATCTTGAACATAATACAAATGAGATCTAGGGAAAGTTGTTGGAAATCTTCAGATTCTGTACTAACAAAAATCTTACTATGGGATTAAGAAATTTTTCTAGATTCTGATGCTTCATCATTTGTAAGCAGCATTACCCGAGCAAAGTTGGATAACAAAATTAAAGCAAATCAGTATTAAATTTTGCAGTTCCTATCATAATGAAAACTCATTTATAGCATATTGTTCTTTTATTATGTCTTATAGCAGATTGTTCTTTTATTATGCAGTCAAGAGTTTTTTTTTAATGAAAGTAACTTAGCTTCAAGTTCTGCTGTTAACGTCTTGTTGAAAATTAAATTTGTTAGTTCTTCTGTCGTTGAACTAACAATTATTGTTAACCCCCCCAAGGCAAATATCCACGGCCCATACAAAATTTTAAAAATTGCCTATGGACAACTGTCTACGCAGGGGGAGGGGGGGAAGAATCCCAAAAAACTGTCTAAGTAGTTAATGAACAGCCCTTTTCTCTAAATCTGGCTGAAAATCTGACGTACGTAATTATCGTGGAATAGCCATAATCTCTTGCATTGCAAGCTCTTCGAGACAATTGCCAACGATTATTATATTTCTTCAAATAAAAAAAATAGAAATACTGACGTGCATCAAGGCTTTTTCAACGGTCGTTCGACCTCTACAAATTTACTTTACTAATTGACTATTCATTGAATGCAACGGATAATGGAAACCACGTAGAAGCCTTCTATATAGACTTTAGCTAGGTATTTGATCGCATTGGCATACCAATGCTACTCTTTAAATAGCAAAAACAAATGGAATTGGGTCAGGACTCCTGAAATGACTTGAATCGTATTTAACTTACCGACAACGAATAATTCAATTCAACGGAAAGAAATCGAGTCCAATTCAAGTCACTTTAGTCGTCCCCCAAGAATCTCATTAGGGACCTCTTCTTTTTATTCTATACGTAAACATTTCTTTAATTCTCGAAAAACTAAAATTGCTAATATATACCGACAATATGAAGTTTTTTTTTTCTTCAATATATTCCGGAATGAAATACACATATTCTACATACGGCGTATAAAAAAGTCTACTAGAATTAAATGTAAACAAATGCAACTTAATATCATTACGGTATTCTGGCATAAAAAAAACTTTTGTTATCCGCCAGTGTTAGCAGTTAGCAGTACTAAAAAGATATTATTCAAAATCTTATAATGTAGGTATACCAGTGTTGGCAAAATCAGAAATCAATTTATATTTTTCCGCTCTCATGCGCTTGCAATATGACGCGTGATATTGGAACAAAAAATCATGCTTGATATTGATTTTACAAGCTCCTTTTATATTGCGAGACTATTCACAACGTGCGAAAATCAAGCTGAGCGTTGACTCGACACAAAAATGATTCCGTTGCACATCGTTTTCTTAGAAAGAGATAGTATAGTTTGCTATCTTTTTTTTACTCTTCACCGACGACAGACACGAAGTGACTGCTGCCAGCCGTTATAGAAGTTTCGGCTGCATTCGGGTGTAAAGCAAAAATCATGAAACTCAATCTCACTACAGTTTGTTGAGATATGCAACTGGTGAGTTTTGTTAGCTTGATATTCCGAACTGCGATATCATTGTTTGCTTGTTTATTTTACGTGACCTTGGGGGTTGATGAGATTTGATTTTTTTGATACTTTCCCAACACTGATTTATACAAAACACTGGTACAACCTATCGGGATGATTCCGAATTAGTTCGGAATCATGACTGGCCACAATTCCTGAACAACAATGCAGAAGACAGCAACTTTGTATCTAATAGGAATCTCGAGATGTTCACGAAGTTTATAAGAAAACTAGTTCCACCAAGTGAATTATGGACGCACTTTCCGAACTAAATTATTATTTATTAGAGATTTGACCATAGAACAAAATTTGAGAAAGTATAATTTCACATCGTAGTATTACTTTCCCAATACAATTATCTTCATAAATTGAATGATATCATACTCTTACTCCTGCTGAACATACTTATTCAGAATTACCATTACCATTCTTCGAATTTCTAATATGGCAGATTAGTGCAATGAATTTAAGCTTCATATATAAAGATTATTATCTTTTATTAGAAAATGGCAACATGAGCAAATTTAGGACTTCAAGATAGTTCATCTCCATTAATAGAACAATTTAACTTTTTTCATGATCATACTCTTTTAATTTTAATTATAATTACTGTATTAATTACTTACTTAAGGGTCCTGTGCACCACCAGCAGTGCAAAGGGCCAACGTGAAAGACTTCCATCCTGGGCGGCTGCTCGCTTTTGCCTTGACCTGGGCCCAGGTCAGATTTCTATCGACTTGCTTAATTTCCTTATTGAGGCTCCGCCGCCATGAGCCCCTGGGTCTGCCTCTGCTGCGATGTCCTGCTGGATTCCAATCCAGCGCTTGCTTGCAGATTTCGTTTCCGCCTCGTCGAAGTGTGTGGCCGACCCACCTCCACTTTCGCTCTCGAATTTCTGTTGCTATCGGCTTCTGATGACATCGACGATGGAGCTCGGCATTCGAGATCCAGTTGTGTCGCTCTTGGTCCCGCCGTCCGACGCTATTTGGCTGCCAAGATATTGGAAACTTTCGACCTTCTCCACTGCTTGCCCCGCTACCGTAAAGTTGGAAGGGTTGCCCGTGTTGATATCCAACGATTTGGTCTTGTTGACGTTGATGGTGAGACCCGCCGCAGAGGAGCGTTCGGCTAGGTCATTGAGCTTACTCTGCATATCAGAGCGCCATTGTGCTAGTAGAGCAACATCATCAGCCAAATCGAAGTCGTTGAGATGCTCCATGGTGATAGGCTGCCAAAGCAGCCCACGGTTCAGTACACGGTCAATTGTACTTACCATGATCTCGTCGATTACGATGAGAAACAGTAGCGACTAACCGGATAGGGTCGGACAAGGCTCCGTTATGCAGAACTCTGCACGTCAAAGCCTCATACTGCACTTCGATGAGGTTGACGATTTTATCCGGGACTCCCTTGCGTCTCAGGGCGCCCCACAGATTCTCGTGATTGAGACGGTCGAAAGCTTTTTCGTAGTCAATGAATACCAAATAAAGGGACTCTTGGAATTAATTGACCTGCTCCAGGATGATGCAGAGCGTGACAATATGGTCCACACAAGATCTTTCTGCACAGAATCCTGCCTGCTGCCGTCGGAGAGTCGCGTCGATCTTCTCCTGTATCCGATTCAGGATAACTTTGCACAGAACTTTGAGAACAATACACAGTAGCATGATGCCTCGCCAATTGTCGCACACAGTCAGATCCCCCTTCTTTGGGACCTTCACTAAGATGCCCTGCATCCAGTCGGCCGGAAAAGTCGCGGTGTCCCAGATATTACAGAATAGTTGATGCAACATTTGTGCGGATAGCATGGGGTCAGCTTTGAGCATCTCTGCTGATATGCGATCGACCCCTGGAGCCTTGTTGGATTTCATAGCTTCAATAGCTTCGGATAGCTGCTTCAATCTCCTGCAGTGATGGGGCCTCGGAATTGACGCGAGTGATGCGCCGCACCCTAGGCGGATCATGCCGAGATGTTGATGGCTGGTTGGCCGTCGAAACTTGAAGAAGTTGTTCGAAGTGCTCAAAGCAGCGTTTCAGCTGGTCAGTGGGGTCGGTAAGCAATTGTCCAGTCGTGTCCTTCACTGGCATCCTCGGGTTCATCCTTGCTCCACTCAGGCGTCGTGAGATATCGTATAGGAGGCGTATATCGCCAGTGTTTGCGGCTTTCTCCCCTTCGTCGGCCAGGGAGTTCACCCACGCTCGCTTGTCCCGTCTGCAAGAGCGCTTGACTTCCTTCTCTAGAGCCGAGTACCGTTGACGGGCTTCGTTCTTGGCTCCTCTGGTTCTCGCCCGCTCTATCGCGGCTTTTGCTTCTCTACGCTCCTCAATCTTCCGCCAGGTTTCATCTGTGATCCACTCTTTCCTCTGGGTGCGCAGCTCACCCAAGTTGTTCTCGCTTGTTTCTATAAAGGCATTCTTGATGGCCGTTCATTGTTCTTCTACGCTGCCACCTTCTGGAACGTCCGCAGCTCGAGTCTCAAGTTCATGAACAAAAGACCTTTTTACCGCTGGATCTTCAAGTCGGCGTGTGTTGAACCGCCGCCCGAGACTCTCCTCCCGTCGCTGGATCCGCGCCATGCGTAGGCGGATTTCACCGATTAGAAGATGATGGTCAGACGCGATGTCGGCGCTGCGTTTATTCCGGACATCAAGAAGGCTCCGTCTCCATTTTCGGCATTGATGCAGATGTGGTCGATCTGATTCTAGCTAAAAATATTTATTTGCATAATATAACCTGGAAATTTCAGGGTTACATCTTCCTTTTTGGGAGCTGAGGAGACATAGAGCTGCATCATATTGTATGTAAAATAATTATTATTTTCATTGCGGAATACCAGTTTTTTTTTATCCATATAAATGTATTTTCATTATTACGTATTTTAATGTTCTGATATATTTCATTTCTCCATAAC